CTTTGACTCTGATCTTCTACAACAGATCTGAGCTCAATCTCGTCAAAACTGATTGAGTCGTAGCCATTTTTGTTTTTAAAGTGAAATAAATGTAGCAGCTTTATGAATTGTGTTGAATTTTTAAAAGTTAATTTACTTCCTGAGAGTCTCATTAAAAGTGGTTCAGAAGATATTTTGCTGACAGACGAACACGTGCACACGGACCCGGACACTTGAGACGTTCAGTCAAGCTTTTATGACGACACGGCTTCACAGTTAATTTTATTTCATGATCATTTATAACCATAACATTTTTTTTTATTTAATTGATCGAATGCTGCCTGAGTAATTTCTTAAATGAAGATTTAACAAATAATTCAAATTTATTTAGACTTTTCAAGAGAATAACCTTTTTTATAACTGAAAATGTTGCATTTTCATTTGGTTCGGGAAATTAAAAATATAAAACATTAGCTTTGGTGGAGGTTTAATTAGGACTTTTAGTTTTTAGGATTATTAAAAAAATAATAATAATAAATTGATGAAAGTGTTAAAGATTTTACCAAAGGAGAAGCGAAGCCCAACTCTGAAGTGTTCATTTAACATTTCAACCGGTGAATTATTGTTTGTTTGTAGGTTTTTAAAGTTTTTCTTCTTGGCAGTCAGAAAACAAAGCAGCGATCTGCAGAAATGAGAAATTTATTTCAGGGATTATTTGACAGTTTTTAGGTTTGGACGCGCAGAACGTCCACATTTAATATGTCAGATAACTTTGCATGTGTGAACGTCTTCTGTACTCGATTGTGAGTGAAACAAAGACGTCTACACAAAACAGGAAAAATAAAGGAGACAACTGTTTTAACAGATTATTTCATGTGGAGCTTTCGGCCCAGTCTGCACTGTTGACTGGCGTCTTCCCACACACGACTCAAAGTGTGCAACCCTAAAACACTCGCACTGCAAAATAAAATAAAATCAAACTAAAATATCTGCAGTCTACAAAATTTAGTTGTTTTTTTAAAATACGTGAACTGAATTACTCTTGTATAATTTGACCAAGAAACTAAAATATTCAACCTTTATTTATACTGGTTAGTCTCATTGAGCCTCAAGGACTCATTTACAAGAGAGACCTGTTTTAAACGAAGAATGATGACAACAGTAGACGACAATGACAACAACAGACCATCTTTAAAAAAGGCATTTAAATTAAAATAAATACATAAATTAATGGAAGCAAATGATGTTTTTTAAAAAAAAAACTGTTAAAGCCCCAAAACAGGCCAAAAACGGTGTTAAAACTAAATGGAGCAAAATCCTAGATAAAACCTGGAAGTGGTAAAAATGATAAAAAGGCAAAAGTAGGTGAACAACAGCTAAAAATACGTAGAAAAGGCCAGCTAAAAGTGGTAAGTCCAAATGTAGCAGAATAGTAACTATAATTAGGAAATTGGTAAATAAAATGGCAATAGTTAAAAATTAATGGTAGCTCAAAGTATCAAAAGACTATAGCTAAAAGCTAAAAGTAGCTGAATGGTTGTAAAAAAAACAAAAAAACATGAAATAACAGTCAAAGACCTCAGAGTATTTCTATAAGGAAGATATCTGTAATTAAAGTTAGATCTTTTGAAAAGTACAAAAGTTACAGAAACCAAAAGTCGTTACTTCCATGTCAGGAAAGAGCTGAATGTTTTTGTTTATGAATAGCTAAAACAGCTCAAGGTATGCAGACATGGTTGTATTACAAAAATGTATAGATAAAAAACAGGAAACAATAGTGTGAACGCTGCATTCACACAAAAATGACGACTGAGTTTTCTTTAAAACTAAAGTGAATTGTTTTTTCAGGAAATTTTTTTAGTTTGTCTTTGAAATATACGAACGCTAACTGATACGCGCTTCAGTGTGCATCTATGTGTTATGTGAAGAGGTTCTGATAAAATGATTCTGATAAAACAAACTAAGTTTTGGTGAGTTTGACCAAATTCAAATGTCACAAAGTGGGAGTGCATTGTTGTTAGTGAAGATAAAATAAAAGGTTGAGAATGGAACTTTTTTTTATTTTTTTTTTACATAAAATTGGTTTTCTTCTGAAGTGCAGTCTCTTTGGTTGTCTGGAATCTTCTTATGACAGAAAACATTTATTTCTACCAACGTACAGAGCCAGTGAGAATGACAGAGTGGGGCCGTGGCCAAGTCTCTGTCAGCCAACAGACTCTCAAGGCCACCAACAATGATGGAGTGATAGAGATGACAACGGCTCAGCGACACATGGGGACAGAGAGGGGGGTGAGACCGACTCCTAAATGGTGACAATCACACACTGAGTGGCACTAATAATGGAGACAGAAGGCGTGACCATGATGAAGACAGAATGACAGCGACAGTCAACAACGTTGCTTTGTTCGTACAGAGACAGAATGTGACAGTGACACCGAGCCAAGGTCAGAGAGGGATGTGTGCAAACAGTCGCGCTGCCTGGAGGCATAAAGTTTGTTCTTTCCTGTCAAAGTATCAGAAAGTGATCAGTAATGGCAACATCAGTCTCAGAGTGCTAATGATTCCCAGAACAAGTGTTTGAAATAACATACTGTAACTATAGCCAGGGACAAAATCCCACCAACCAAACAATTAACCACCCCATTAACCAGCCAACCAAACAACTACCTACCTACCAACCGATTAAACAAGAACCCAATTAAAAACAACTACCCAATAAACCAGCCAACCAATTAACCAGCCAACCAAACACCTACCTACCTACCTACCTACCTACCTACCTACCTACCTACCTACCAATTAAACAAGAACCCAATTAAAAACAACTACTCAATAAACCAGCCAACCAATTAAACAACCAACCAACCAATCAACTAACCAACCAATCAACTAAAAAACCAACCTACCTAACCAATGAACCTACCTAGCTACTGTACTTACCTATACCTACCTACCTGCCAACCAATTAAACAACCACCTATTTAACCAACCAATTAAAAATATCCAATTAACAAATCACCCAATTACCCAACCAACCAGTTAAACAAACACCCAATTAACCAGCCAACCAAACAACCAACCAATTAAACAATCTACCTACCTACCTAACTACCAACCAACCAACCAACCAGCCAATTAAATAACCACCCATTTAGCTAAACAAACAAAAAAAAAACACCCAATTAACCAACCAACCAACTTACCTACAAACCAATTAGACAACCACCCTTTAACCAACTAATTAAAAAACAACCTATTAACCAACCGCCCAATTAACCAGCCAACCAAATCATCAAGATCTAAAACCATCAATGCTCTGAGCAGCTCTAATTTCCAAAGGCAGACCGTCCAACAACATCCACATAGAAAAGCTGCAGCTGCGTTTGAACCTGCAACCTTCTTTCTGTGAGCCGTGAGCTCTAAACGTGGCTCTGCCATGCCACTCTCTATACAAACCGTGACAAGCTTTTATTTGATTTTATTTAATTTTCCATTGTGGACACAACATTAGAGACAAAGTAAAGAGTGCATTTGTTGTCAGGATCGAACATCACTACCACGAGATGTTCGTCAGGATTTAAAGCACCAACTGTAATAACAGCCGAGCGCTAATTATACGGAGCGAGACCGTCACCAACGGAGAAGAGTCTGACCACACGCTGGTCAGAGAGTTTCTCCTCAGCCGGAGAGTGAAACAAGAGCATAAAACTTCTGTGACCTTCAGATCTCTCCAACACAGCAGGGTCTCCAGAAACAAGTGCAGACAGATTTTATGTTAAATCTTCTCCTGTGGCTTGTTCCACATTCAGAGTCGACTTCTGCAGCCTGAACTCACTTCTTCACACATTTCTGTCTGAATTAAACAGAAGAGAAAAATAAAAGTTTGGAACTGGGGTTGGATTTTTTTTTTTTAAAGCAATTTGACGTTTCGTTTTATCACATTTTTCAATTTGCCTGAATATATTTGGCACAACTTAAGAGCTGAAACACAAAATAGGCAATGTCGGTGAAAACAACAGTTCTAAAACATTCTGTAGGCGCATCAGATGAATAATAATCAAGGTGCTGCTACCATTAATGCTTTTATTTTTATTCATTATTTTTCTGTAAAATAAGCCAAGTCTACCTTTTTTGTTACTTGGTTGCTGCTACAAACCTTTAAAAACAGTTTCAGATCAGTATACAACCTGAAATGTTGGGACATTTTTACGAAAAGTCACTGATGTGTGTGTGTACGTGCACGTGTGTGTGTAATGTATGTATCATATTTGATCAAAAGGACCTCTTGTTGCCATGGAGATTTTCACACTTCTGCAATCTTGATGAATTGTTAATTATTCTAAACATTATGGCAAAGGTTCTGTATCCAAACAGTGTTTAATTAAAACTGAATTTATATTAAAAAACACTTTAGTTTCCCGCTCACAGACCGTGACAGTGACTGAACACAGAGCTCGCAGTAAATCCAACATGACTTGAACTTTGCCTCAGTTTCAGATTAACCGTCTAAAAGACACGAGCAGGAAAAGATGTTTATGGAGGAGAAAAGGCCAAGTGGTTGAGCTGCGTGGTTTAATAAATTAATCTAACCCGAGGTGAGAGTCAATCTTTCGGCGTGTGGCAGAGTCACTTCCAGTGACATCGATGCTGCAACAAGCTCCGACATCTGTTGTTCTCTGCGCATCGATGCAGTCATGAGGAATATTAACATCAGCGCCTGGTACGCTGGCGTCTGGATGTTTTCACTGATGGTAACGTCATACTGCTGTCGTTAGACAACCAGAATGTGACATTAGCGGGCATACAAGGTGGATTCTTTGTACATGCGTGGTGTGCCGGCAAATTCCTTAAACGTACATGGTTACATCCATCAGTAATAAATTATAGAAAACTTTCCTTTTAAAAAAAGAGTAGGAAATGTTTCATTTTGCTGCTTTTCATTTGTGACGATGCTCCTCAGGTGTCGGTGTAACAACTCGTTAGCTTCTTCCTAAGGATCTTATTTTTTCTTCTCTTTTCAGTCATCTGCAACTTCCGAGGCTCGGTGACTCAGGGTTTGGCTCTGGAGGTCGGAGAGACGGTTCAGATTTTGGAAAAATGTGAAGGTAAGACTTTTAGATTGAGATTTCTTTTTGTTCCAACAGCACACGAAACCACTACAGCCACCAGTAATAACACATAATACCGTCTGTGGTTGAACGTTAGAGATATTTTTCTTTAATGATGTTTGCATAAACAAACCAACAATAATAGCTTGGTGTACACATAAGTCCCAACTTTCTTCTTCTTGACAACAGAAAAAATACAAAATAAACTAATAACTGTGATTTATAAGAATTTTCCATAAAATTGTGTACACACTTCTTCAAATTGGCATTGCATTTTAAAATTGATCCAGCGTTGCATGTCAGAACACTCAACTCGTGTCCCTGGAATAAAAAAGGAATGAACCGGTGTTATGGTTCTCAGAATTACTTCTTTACTTTCAGTTTTTATAGTTTAGACCTCTCGAAGTTTCACGTCCTTAACCTCAACCTTTTAAGGCGGAGAGGGTCACATCTAGTAGGCGGATTATTCTACATTTAGAATATCACGGTCCCCAGATTAATACTGAAGCATGGAATTAAAAATAGACACAAACTTAGGCCTGACAGTCAGTCCCACCCAGAAACATCTGTAACATCTGCTTCAGTGATGTGCACTTAAAGGCGCTCTTGCGAACTGTAAAGTCAAACATGAAACGGTTCTCCTGAGTTATGTCAAATGGTGCATTTTGACAGAGGGTACTCCAGATGTATTTATGTAATTCACAAACGCTGGTTCACACTGATTGTAAACAGAATACTCCGCTGAATCGACCAAATAAACAGGAAAGTTTGAGTCACATGATGAACCTGTACGTATAGGCTAGTATAGGTTAGCTATAGTCTGTGTAGGGAAACAAATACGGTAGAACAAGTGTAGAATATCAAAGATATTTAGGTGAAATAAAAGAGTGAATGTGCTGCTAAATGGAAAATGAAATAAAAAAAGAGATTGCGAAAGACAACCATCAAGAATTTTCCTGAAATTGTCGGACTTCTCAAAAACGTTGACTCTTCCAGAGACGTCCCCATTGTTGACCCACTTTCAGTCCCTTCGTCTGTACACTGGGGAACTGGATTCTGGACTTCATGACCGACAGACCTCAGACTGTCAGGATCTGCAACATCGTCTCCTCCATCACCGTCAGCACTGGCTTGCCCCAGGGCTGCGTGCTGAGCCCCCTCCTGTTCACTCTGCTGCTTGGCTAGACACCCCAGCTGCCATATAGTGAAGTTTGTGGACGACACAACAGTAGTGGGACGCATCACGAACAATGATGAGTCCAAATGCAGAGAGGAGGTGGAACATCTGGTGCAGTGGTGCAGAGACAATAATCTCTGCATCATTGTGAAGAAGACCAAGGAGATGGTGGTGGATTTCAGAAGGGACAAGGATCCTCTTCATTCCGTACACATTGTAGGAGTAGCTGTGGAGGTGGTCTCCTGCTACAGGTACCTGGGGGTGCATATATCCAGTGACCTCACCTGGAGAGCCAACACTTCCTGCCTGGTCAAAAAGGCCCACCAGCATCTGTACTTCCTCAGGAAGCTGCGGAGAGCTGGACTTGGGAGCTCTGTCCTGAGGAGGTTCTATCGCTGTATGGTGGAGAGCGCTCTCTGCACCTGCATCACCGTGTGGCACAGCAGCTACACGGCTGCTGAGAGGATGGCTCTGCAGAGGGTGGTTAAGGCTGCACAGAAGACTGTGGGGAGCAGCCTTCCCACCACCTCGGACCTCTACACTTCACGATGCAGGGGGAGGGCGCTACGCTTCATGAAGGACTCCACTCATCCTGCACACAGTCTGTTCCAGCCCCTCCCCTCAAGCACACGGCTGAGGATCATTCAGAGCAAGACCACCAAGCTCAAAAACAGTTTCTTCCCTGCAGCTGTCAGACTGCTGAACTCGAGCTGCACTTAATTCAGCTTCATCTTACTCTTTTTAGCTTAATTTATTATATATA